ACGCCTTCCTGCTCTCAGGAGTGGGCGGTGGGGCCAAGGAGGCTGCTGGGCATCTGTGCAAAGGCACTGAGGCCAGAACGAAACGGCCAAAGTCTCGCTGGAATGCAGGCCTGACTGTGCTGGCGGTGTCCTCGTCCACACGGCCACACGCCACAAGCCTGCTGGCCTGGGCAGCCCACCCTCTAAGGACAGACATGGGTGGACCCTGCCCAGGTCTCATGGCCAGACACCACAGTGGCAAACTCTTGCAGGTGCTGCACCGCCCTGGCCAAGGCCAGGGCTACCAAATGGGAAACAGCAGATCAGGCCTGCGGAGCAACACGGGGCCCGGTCTCTGTGTCCCCGTCTGTGAAGTGGGGGCAGGAGACACTGGGAACCTCCAGAGGGACCCTGGGAGTGGGGCGGGGTCCAGCTGGGCCCGTCTGGCCAGGCGGGACTGTGCGGGCCGGCCCGGGTCTGAGGGCTGGAGGTACCAGCTGCCTCCAAGAGGCCTGTCGATGGCAGATAGGCCTCGGGAGTATTATTCACTAGCCGTCAAGCCCCAGGACCGTCTGGTTGGCATAGAAACAGGAGATAAGGGGCACAATTAATGGCATCGCATTCCTCCTCCTTTCTTCCCCAACTGACCCACTTAAATCCCAGAGCTCAGTGCCATGCTGGGCTCCCGGTGACCTCCAGGGAGGGAGACGGTGTCCGGGGCTCCGGCTGGCGTAGGCTGTGTCAGGCCTCTCCAGGAGCTGCCCCTGAACCAGAATGGCCCAGGGAGGAGGCCATGGGGGCGGCCAGGAGAGCGGGAGACCCCAGAGCCGCCACTGCCGTGCCGGCCGCTGCACTGACGTGGGGACCGAGGCCCAGTCCCCGTGCTTCACAGGGTCTCCTCCGGCTTGTTTTCCCAGATATGCAGTGGTGAACCTGCTCAGGCTCACTTGTAGGGAAGTGCCCACACGCTGTCCACCACAGGCACGGACCACCGCCACCACGGGCCAGCTGAGTGTCCCCCTGGGCCGGACTCAGGAGTCAACCAAAGCCCGGAAGGCATCAGGGATGACTGGGCGGCTGCCGGGCCCAGGATAGGGCTGCAGAGTCCCTCCAGCCTCCAGCTCCCTCTCCACCAGGGCCGGGGTGACCTTGACCTTGACCTCGAGTGCTGCTGCTTCAGGGTGCTGGCCAGGGCGGGGTGATGGGGCCAAGCAGAGGGCAGGAGGGACACCCTCTGCTGGCCCCTGGACAGCAGACGCTGCCCGAAAGGGACACCCGTGGGAGGCGATCTGTCCAGGCGGCTCAGAGGCCAGCAAGCTGGGCCATCAGAGCCCTGCTGCTCCGAGGGCTGGTGGGTACCGCAAGAGGGTCCCAGGAGACCACACCTGGTCTTCCTGGGCCCCGCCTGGAAGGGACCACCACCATAAAAAACGTGCCAGGACCACCCCAGCCCAGTCTGGGCCAGGCGCGGCTCTCCTCTGACAGAACTGGCACTCTGCAGACAGCCACCAGGGGCCCCATGGGTGCGTGCTGGGCTGTTGGGGAGTGAATTAGTTATCTGGTGGCTACCAATAATTTGTTGGATCAAACTGTGAGAATGTGTGAAAACATCCTGCTCTGGCTGGGTGGGAGGTGGCGAGTCCCCAGGCTCCTTCCAGAAGCCTCCGGCTGGCTGGCTAACCTGCCTGCCGGCCTCCATTGGGTGTTGGGGTCTCTTGCAAAAGGACTCCTTATCATCTCTGTGCTGACCCAGGAAGAAACTGAGGCTAGGCCCTGGACTCCCCTGTCCTGCAGACGTCTCTAGCTCAGCCCTTCCCCACCCCAAACAGCCAGGGGTCCTCAGTCCACTTTTCTGAGCTGAAAACCAAGGCTGGCCTATTGTCCGTGGAGGAGCCATCCCTCACAGCTGGCCCCCTCTTGACAGCCCAGACGGTCCCTTCTGAGAAGTGTCCCTGACTCACCTCAGCTTCTCACGCAGCCCTCAGCTCCCCGCTGTGCTGTGCTGTGCTGTGCTGCTGTGCTATCCTGTGCTGTTCTGTAGGGCTGCAGCTGGGACCCAGTGCTGTGGTCACTGAGTGTTTATTGAACACATGCCCAGTCAGGGCAGATCTGGGCAGACCTAACCCTGCTGTGGGCACCAAGGAAAGAAGAGGCCAAAACATGGGCTGTCCCCAAACAGCCAGGTCTATGGAAATTAGTTTTTTTTTTTCCTTCCAGAAAACTCCAAGCAGGCTAAGTCTAAGACTTGCCTGAAATCAACAGCAACCCAGCACAGATCAAGGGAAACCACTCTCTGGAGGTGACAAACCCAAGTGCGAAGCTGGCTGCCAGCGCCACCTATCAGGAATGAGGGGCGGGGTGGCTCCCCACCCCTCTGCACTCATGCAGTTTCCTTTCATTTTGATGGCGGTACCACTGGCCTTAGGGGGAGGGTCAACTTCTTGACAATTAAGTGTTTAGAGGGGAAAACTCCCCAGATGGACGGTGCTGATCTGCTCCCCGGGGCTGCCCAGGCCCCCCACTGGTGGCACACGGTCCCAGCCCGAGGCCCCGCTGCTGCTCTTGCCTCCGACCCAGCCAGGCCTGGTGGCGTAAGATAAGGCTTCTTATCACTCTAGGAGATCGTTGTAGGGCTGGCCCCCACAGATCGGGCTCCCATCGCTGGGTGGGAGGCGAGCCTGGAGGTGAGTGCTCAGGGGTCCTGAGCTGTGCCCTGCCCTGTGTCCCCAACAGGGTTGGCCTATCATCTCAGCCATCTGGCTGGCCAAGGCCAGGCTCCCGCCTCCCCCTCCTCCCTCCCACGTTTGAAGTTAATAAATAGAAGCTCCTATCAGCCTGCCATCGGTGGCATGCCTTATCAGCGCGGCACATCTATCTCCGAGCAGAACAAAAGGCGCACGGAGCTTGGGCAGCTGCATTCCCACTCGGATGGTGGGGGGAGAGCGATGGGAGGGCCCGTCCCTCAGACCCTCTCCCTCTACAGCCTGCGCCCGGCCAGGTGAGGCCAGGGCAGAAGGGTCACACTAGGAGGCTGAAAGCACAGCTGTGGGCAGAGGGCTGGCGGACAGGCGCCTCCGCTCAGCATAATCAACATTAAGATCTTAACTCGCTTCCATCTGCCTGGGAGGAGGCAGCCTGGGCCGGGGCTGTGGGGAGGGTCCTGACCCCCACCCCGCCCAGTCCGGGAGCGCCGGGAGGGTCCGGCTCCAACCAGCACGCCGGCGGAGCCCTGCTCGGATTCTGTGGGCTTATCAGTGCTGGCGATCGGTTCCCAACCTGCGATCTCCTGCCCCAGCTATCTGCATTTCTCATCAAGCAGAAATACACACACGCACACACACACCAGCACTGAACTGAGGCGCACGAGGGAGGAGGGGAAAAGAAACCAGAGAAAGAGCGCAGATCCGGACCTGTGGGTGGTTCTAATACTTGAGTTGACATGATAGAAGGCGACTTTCGGAAAACAGGTCCCGCTTGCATCTGGGGAGTCGGGTTACGGGACCCGCTTCCCGCCCTCCGATCCGCTCCCCCTTCCCGGAGGCCCGAGGCGCAAGCAGGGGCTCTCCCACAGGCGGGGCCTTCGGGTCCCGGGGCGGCGGTCAGGTGGGCCGGGGAGGCCATGCCCGGGCGCCAAGTTCTCCGCGGTGCGGTGCGCTTCCTGCCGCCCACCGCGGCCCCCGGCCCCCGGCCCAGGGAGCTCTCAGGGCCCGGGGTCCCGCGGGGGTGCCAGAATCGTGGGGCGCCCTGGGAAGGGGGGGTGAGAGGAGGGCGGGTGCGGGGCCATCAGGACACCGGCTGCGGCGCTGATCACCGGGGGCCCGGCCTCGGGAGGGGCGGGCGGGGCTGGCGCGGGCCCCAGCGGCGGGAAGGCGCGCCCCCCCCCCCCCCCGTCCCGGGCCGCCGTCCCGGGCGCCCCGCTCGCCCCCTGGATACGGAGCCTGGGAGAGCCGGCGCGAGATAAGATCTCCATTTCAGCCCGTCCCGACGGAGCGATCGTATCAGCCGGGGCTCGCCGAATGGAATATTTTAAACTTTATCGGCGCCCGGATCCGGGCCGCGCTATCGCCGCACCATCGCGGCTGCGGGGGAGGGGCGGGCCGTGCGCCCCGCGCCGCTCCGGGCGGGGACGCGGGGGCCCGGCGGAGACGCGGGGTCCGGGCGGGGACGCGGGGGCCGGGCGGGGACGCGGGGTCCGGGCCGGGACACGAGGGCCGGGCGGAGACGCGGGGGTCTAGCCCGGGACGCGGGGTCCGGGCCGGGACACGAGGGCCGGGCGGAGACGCGCCGCTCCGGGCGGGGACGCGGGGTCCGGGCGGGGACGCGGGGGCCCAGCGGAGACGCGGGGTCCGGGCCGGGACACCAGGGCCGGGCGGAGACGCGGGGGTCTGGCCCGGGACGCGGGGTCCGGGCGGGGACGCGGGGTCCTGGCGGAGACGCGGGGTCCGGGCGGGGACGCGGGGTCCGGGCGGGGACGCGGGGTCCGGGCCGGGACACGAGGGCCGGGCGGGGACGCGGGGTCCGGGCGGGGACGCGGCCCGAGACGCGAGCCCCGGCTTGGACGCGGGGTCCGGGCCGGGACGCGGGGGTCTGGCCCGGGACGCGGGGTCCGGGCGGGGACGCGGGGTCCGGGCGGGGACGCGGGGTCCGGGCGGGGACGCGGGGGTCTGGCCCGGGACGCGGGGTCCGGGCGGGGACGCGGGGTCCGGGCCGGGACACGAGGGCCGGGCGGGGACGCGGGGGCCGGGCGGGGACGCGGGGGTCTGGCCCGGGACGCGGGGTCCGGGCGGGGACGCGGGGTCCGGGCGGGGACGCGGGGGTCCGGGCGGGGACGCGGGGTCCGGGCGGGGACGCGGGGGTCCCGGCGGGGACGCGGGGGTCTGGCCCGGGACGCGGGGTCCGGGCGGGGACGCGGGGTCCGGGCCGGGAGCGGGGCCCGGGCCGCCGGCCGAGATTCGAGGTCGGGCGCGGGGCGGCGCGGGTGAAGGTCAGGGGCGGCGGGACCGCGGGGAAGTTGGACTCACGCTTGATCTGCCGGGGGTTGCTCTGTTTCCTCCTGGACATGTCTCCGGCGCCGCGCGCCCTCGCGGCGGCCGCCTCTAGCCCCGGGCGGGCGGCGGCGGGCGGCGGGGGCGCGGCGGGGCCGGGGGACCGTTCATGCCCCCGGCCCGCTGGCTCCACGGTCGCTCCGGCCCGCGCCCCCAGCCCGCCGCGCCTGGCCAGGAGCCGCCGGCGCCCTCACGGAGGCCCGAGGCCACGGCCCGGCGCCCGGGCGCGCGGACAGTCCGGCGGGCGGCGGGCTGGGGTCGGCTCCTCCGCCCCCGCGCAGGCACCGCCGCCGCCGTTCGGCTTTTCTCAATGAAATCTGCGGGCAGCGAACGACGAGCCGGCGGACGCGGCCAGGGCGCGCCAGGCGGACAGGCGGGCCGGCGCGGGGCGGGGCTTGCGCGTCGGCGGCCGCGCTTCTGGCCCCGCCTCCGCCGCCGGTCTTCCCCGAGCGGGCCCCGCCCCGCCTGGCTGGCTCTTCTCTGCGCTGGCCCCGCCCCGTTCCCCAGACCCCGCCCCGCCTGGCCGGCTCTTCCCGCCGCTGGCCCCGCCCCTCCCCAGACCCCGCCCCGCGTGGCTGGCTCTTCTCGTCTCTGGCCCGCCCCGTTCCCAAGACCCCGCCCCCGCCGGGCCCGTCCTTCCCGCCTCTGGCCCCGCCCCGTGGCCCAGACCCCGCCCCACCTGGCTCGTTCCCTCCCGCCTCTGGCCCCGCCCCCTTCCCGAGACCCCGCCCTGCCTGGTGTGTCTTCCGCGCGGAGCCTGCCTCCGCCAGGCTGGCGCAGGGCATATGCCAGCCAGACCCAGGCCCAGCCCCGGCCCTCGGGCCCCTTCCGTTCATCCTAGGCCTCTGACGCTGCTGTGTCCTCGGGCTTAGCCAGCATTGGCGATCCGTCCTGGCAGCCGCAGGCGGAGTTGGTGGTGTGGGGGTGAGCGCCTCTTCCGCTCAGCTCTCCAGGGGCCGCCCTCCGAGTGGGCGGTCCCAGTGGGCGGTCCCGGGGCTCAGAGCCCCGCCCCGCGCTGTGGCCCCGCCCCGCGCTGTGGCCCCGCCCCGCGCTGTGGCCCCGCCCCGCGCTGTGGCCCCGCCCCGCGCTGTGGCCCCGCCCCGCGTGGTCCCCCCCTGGGGCCCTGGGCCCTGGGCCGTGGGAGTGGCCAGCGGCGGGTCAGCAAACCCGTTTGGGCCAGACTTGCAGCGTGAAGGGGAGTCTGGTCAGAGGGGCTTCCATGCGAGCCTGCGCGGCCCCACCTCGGGCACTGGCTCCTCCCGAGAGCGAGGGTGCGCCCTGGCGTCCCACAGCGGGGCCCACATCTCTGTGGCACAGGCCCCTGGTGCCAGCTGCGTCCTTCCTTGCTGCTGCCTATCTTCTTCTTTTCCTTTTTTTTTGGAGGGAACTTTGTGACTGCAGTGGGAGAAAATCAGCCCTCTGTGCTATGCCTCGGGCGTGAGCTCCGGCTCCCTGCGCGCCGTGGTGAGGGGAGGGACCGCGGGGCCCTTCCCTGCCAGCCCTGCCCTGGGGGCTGACATGCATTGCCAGAGCAGCACTCTGAAGGAGCTGTCCATTGCCACTGGCCAGGTGGATAAACTGAGGCACAGAGAGGACGTCAGCCTTTGGTGGAGCTGGATTCGCCCTGGGAAGGCAGACACTCACTGAAGAGGGACGCTAGAGGCTGATCTGGAGCAGAGCCCACACCTGTCCCCCTCTGCCTGTCCCCCACCTCTGCATGGTTCAGGCCCCCCAGATCCCTGGCAGTCCCCTGGCTCTGGAGCTGATGTGCCAAGCCAGTGGCCGATCCCAACATTTGTCAGCACAGGCTTCAAGAAGGGTTTAATTAACTTCCTGTTTCAATGAGGATAATGAGTTTTAAATACCACATGACTGCTAAGGAGGTCAAACAGCAGCAAGGATGTGAAAATAAATTAAGTTAGGCCTTGGGAGGCCACACCGGGATGTCTGGCCACCCCGGGCAGGCAGCTGCTGTGGGTGCCCTGTCCCCTCTGTCTCTGTGGGCCTGGAGCTCAGCTTTGCTTGGCACTGGTTCCCAGGCCTGAGGACTGGAGGCTGACCACTGGCCCGGGCAGCCACATCTGCTCCTCTGGCTCAGTCTCTGTGGTCCTCTAGCAACCAGAGAGCTCCCCGGAGGCTGCTGCATGCGCTCCTCCATGGCCCAGGACCACTGGCCAAGCGTGCTGGTGACAGGACATTATCTGACATTTCCTCATCTCTGTCGGGTGGTGACATCATTTGCTGCCTTCCTCCTCCCCTTCCACCCCTCCTCTCTCTTCCTCAGTTCCGTCCTCCCCTGCCTTTCTCCCCACGTCCCTCTCTTCTGTCCTTCCAACTTTCCTTCCTTCTGTGCACCAGCAGTTGTGGAGCCAAAGTCTGCGTGCATCCTGTCGCCGTGGGCCACGGTGGAGAGGGAGGAAGACAGCAGAGAGAAGTTGTAGTTGGCATGGAGAACTTGGGAGTGGGGGGGCAGTGGCCCTCTGGTAGGGAAATTGAGGCCCAAGGGGCCTGGTAGCCTAAGGCCCTTGGTTTCCAGCCCACGCCCCCCAGCTGTTTCCTCACCACCCTATCAGACGCCTGTCCTCCTCCGGGGCCAGAGGCAGCCTGGTGGGGCTCCTGGGCGGTGCTCTGGGAAGGCCCCTCCAGCCTCCTCTGTCTGGGAGCCCCTGGCAGGGCAGGAGACCAGTGGCCTTGAGCTTCCACCCCCAAGGACATCCCCACGGCCAGAGAGGCAGACACTGCCCTGTGGGGAGGGGGCATGGCCTTGGCCTTGTGGGCAGAGAGAGGCTGTGTGGGCTCACCGGCCGCCCCGGGGATGTTGGAGACTGAGCCTGAGAGCAGTGGTGGTTGACCTTCCTCACCTGTTTTTCCAGAAACTGGAGGGTTGTGTAGGATGCACGTGGCCCGTGGACGGTGACACGGGCAGGGGTCCCCTCCCCGGAACCCGCAATCCCAGCACCTCAGCGGGTGCCTCGGGAAACCCTGGCACGGGTCCCCAGTGTCCTAGAGTCCCCCTGCAGCCCCTGCTCAGACCCTTCCACCCCTCCTTCCTGCAGAGGGACTGGGGCTTGTAAGTCTGGGAAAATTCGTCTTCCAGCTCAGATTGTTCAAAAGCCCAGCCACAGGAGGCTGTAGGTGAGCAGCCTGCTGCCACCACGCATCCTGCATCCTCTCCCTCCGGCCCTGCCCTGCTGGGCTCGCCGAGAACAGGTCACCGCGACCCTCTGGCCCCCGCGTGTGTCACTGCGACCCTCTGGCCCCCGCGTGCCCCGCGTGTCACCCGGCCCTCCGGCCCCCGCGTGTGTCACCCCGGCCCCCCTCCGCCCCCACGCGTGTCACCGCGACCCTCCGGCCCCCGCATGTGTCACCCTGGCCCTCACACCCTTATGGCCCACGGGCACACAGTGCTGCCTTCTCCCCTTTTCTCCCCTCCCCGCCTCCTCAGGCTGGGGTCATTAATGGGCACTGGTGAGGCCCTGGCCATTGGAGTGACTTGCGTCTTCTCTGCCTAATTTGCGGTCGTGGGGGCCGCTCCGTGGGGTGCTGGGGCTCGGAGGGGCCTGGCGTCCCCCTCGAGGACAAAGCCCCCTGGGCAGAGGCGCGGCCCCTGGGCAGGGGTCTGCACCATTTTCTCTCCGCAGCCCCTGCTCCCAGGCCCAGCTCACTGTTCCTCGGCTCCTAGCTCAACCGAGTCCAGGACCCCTTCGGGCCAGGTCCCTGACCCCCAAGGTACCCCGAGTTGCTTGCATCAGGATATGACATACAGCTGCGCCTGCCCCCGCTGCGCCTGTATGTGTGTGAGTGTGTGTGTGTGGTGTCCGCGTGGCGTGCCCCAGGTCTGCCCTTGGGAGCCGCCCCTCCGTGGAGGCGCGTCCTGGCTGGTGGAGACTGCCACCTGGCGGCCAGGCCGGGGCTGTCCTGCTGTGGGTCTCCTGGCCCCAGGGCAGTTGGGGGACTCAGGGAGGGGACAGTGTGAGGCAGCAGTTCCAGAAGTCAGCTCCTGAGGGTCTGTGCCGGGCAGCGTGCCTGCCGAGGGCATCCGGCCCAACCTTCTGCCCTGGCTGGGTAGAAGGGCCTAGCAGGGCCTCCTCACTACACTGAATGGGGGCGGGGGGGGGGGGGAAGAAGTGGACAGGGCTGCAGGCCTGTCTCCTCTCTAGCCTGTCTCCGCCCAGGTCCTTCTCAGGCCCAGATTCTCAGGGCACCCCGCCTGTCCCCCCCAGTCCCAGAGGTAGCCAGGAGCCTTTGGGGTGGGTCCCAGGGCCTCAGAATCACCTGGTGTCTGAATATGAGCAACTAGAGGGGGGAGGCCTCGCGGAGCCCCTGTGGGCAGGCCTCCCTGCAGTCCGACCCCTGCCCTGCAGCTGACATCTGTAGGAGGCCCGCGGGTGTGGGGGGCAGCGGGCCAGCCATGCACAGCGAGAGGCCAGGGCTGTCCAGCCCCGTCCTGCGTGCCCCCACCGCGCAGTGGAAGACAACCCTCCCGGGCTGAGTCCTGGTCCTCGGCGAGGGGCAGGGGTAAGGACAGACGCCACACAGCCGGGAGGGCTTCTGCGAAAATAGTGGGAATATATTTGGAAAGACGAGTGAGCTGTGAGTTTACAGTACGGCCTGGCATCCCCACCTGTCCTCATCCACAGGGAGGCGGGTCTGGAAGGACCCGTAAGCACCTTCTAGAGAGGCAGTTTGGGCCTGATTCAGTCTTATTAGAAATGTCAAAATAAAACCTTTTGGACATACACGTGGCAACCAAGCTAAAAACTGAAAAACAGCAACAGACCCCCAGACAAGCCAGGAGACCCAGAGCCCCCAGGAGGCCGGTGGGGTGTCTCCTCCTTGAGCAAGATGGCACCTCGGGATGTGGGGAGCCAGCCTGCGTGTGGCTGGGTCCCTGTCACCGCCGGGACCCTGGGGCTGGAGCCTGGCTGGTGAGGGAGGCAGGGCTTCCCTCTGGTCTCCCTCCCCCAGCAGCCGGGGGAGCCTGCATTCACATTACAGCGTGGAGTGTAGCACCAGAACCTTCAGAGCAGAGGAGTGGATTCTGAGACTGGAGAGCCCCTGTGGGAGGAAGGCTCTAGGGGGGGGCTGGGGGGAGGGGCACGGGCGAGGCTGGCCGGGTCCCCAGGTCTGGGTGCACTGGGAATGTTGGCAGCTCAGACAGTGCCCAGTAGGACCCTGTGGTCAGAGGGAGGGGGCCCGTTGGGCTCCTGGGGACCAGGTGGCTCAGAGATGACCCCAGTGGGTCCTCCCCCGCGTGGTTTCTAAGGTCACCGGAAGTCCAAGAGTGGAGCCTCAGCCGGCTGACCCACCCTCATCACTCCCCTGCTAGGTAGTGGGGCCGTGTGCAAACCTTCACATGGATTCTACAGCATAGGACGCCCACCCGCCAGGACAGGCAGGGGCAGGAGCTGTTCTCTTGCGCTTCAGGGAAAGTAAGTATCAAGATGACAGCTTCATGGGCTCCAAGGGCTTCCACTGGTCTGCCCCTGGGGTCCAGCCTTCCGCCTGCCTCTGACCTGAGCAGCTGGCCTCGGCGCCTGCCTTGGTCTGGGTGCGTGTGGGTAAGTCGGTGCCTCAGCAGGGAGCCGTGGCAGCGTCGGACGCCAGTGTGCAGGCTCAGCTGCAGGCGGCTCCGGCGGGCTCCTCAGAAGCGACCTTCTTCAGCGGGATCTTGAAGCTGGTCAGCCTCTGTCCGAAGAGCTGGCTGAGGAGGTGGCTCTGGGACTCAGCCGTCCGGCGGTCTCGGGGCTCAGCATCGGGGGCATGTCTGCCCCTCTTGTGGGGTCTGGGCAGGGGGGAAGCCTTGCCTGGGGCTTCCTTCCTGGGTGTGTGGCTGGGCCCCTCCTTCTGGTGTTCTGCTGGCTGGGGCCTGGTCCTGCCCATCTGGCTGCCCGGCCTGGGCCTGGCGGGGGGCACTCGGCTGGGCGTGGCCTGCTTCCGGGGGGCCCGGGGGGGCTTCTCAGGGGCGGAGGGGGCTCTACCTGAGCTCCCCACGTGGTCGCACCTGGCTGGCTCCGGGGCCTGGCCTTTCTTCTCCCTGGGGCCTGGACAACCTCGACGCCCCTGATAGCTGGCCTCTCTGGGGCTCTTCATGCAGCCCCTGGCCTGGGCTTGAGGCCTGGGCTGGGCTGGTGTGGGGCTCGGGCCGGGGCAGCCGGGCTTGGCTGGGGTGATGGCCGTCTCGCTCTGGAGCTGCCCACTGGCCGGCTGGGGCTGGCTGCCACCCCCTGTCTTGGTGCTGTGGCGTGACTCCCCACTGCCGTGGGAGCCGGGTCTGGGCTTGGCTTTGGGGGTGGTGGGCTTCGTCCTGTGGGCCAGCCCTGTGGGCTCCGGCCTCCCCCGCCCCACAGGCTTCCCGGGCCCTGTTGGGAGCTGGGGTGTCCTGTCCGGGGGTGAGCTGCGGCGGGGCTCTGGCTTGCGGGCGCGGTCCTTGTGGGAGAGCCTCCCCTCGCCCCCCTCAGGCACCATGGGACCCACGGGCCCCAGCTTCTTTCTGTGGGGCAGGGAGGGGTCCCCTGGAGGAGGGCCAGGGGCGCTTTGGCCCCGGGTGCCTGGGCCCTGGCGTTTCCCTGACAGCAGGAGCGGAGTCCCTTTTCCCTCCAGGAGAGCTGGCTGCTTCCGCGGCCCGGGGCTGCCGGCTGGGGCGCCATCCCTGGGCCTCTGCAGGGCTCGCTCCAGCCTTCTGCCACCTCTGCCATCAGCCAGGGAATCCGGGAGAGGAGACAGAGATCGGGGCAGAAGCTCTTGGCCATCAGCAGGTAGCCTGGCCTCCCTGACTGGGTGACCCACGGGGCTGGCGGGGCTGGGGGGTCTCTCTTGTGTCTCGGGCTGCCCCTCGGCAGTGCTGGACTCTACCTCCAGGAAGATCTGGGAAAGGAGCAGGATGGAAGGCTCGCTCAGGGCAGGGCTGCCCGGGGACAGGGGCCGGTCCGCCCTGCCGGGCCCTGGCTGGCCACTGGGCAATGCCACCCTGCTCCGCTTGCTAGGCAGTGTCCCCTCAAAGGCCGAGGCCTCCCACCCAGGGGCCCCATTCTGCTCAGAGGCCCCCGGCCGCCTGGCACCCCGGAGAGCAAAGGACAGCTGGCCGCTTCTCAGATGCTTGTCCATGTGTCGGTCAAACTGCTCCTTCTTGGCGAAGGTGTAGTTGCAGGAGCTGCAGATGAAGGACCTGCGGATGGCGTGCGTGACGTTGGCGCAGAGCTCACAGGTGTACAGCGGTGTGTGCAGCAGCTCGCGCTCTTCCCTCACCCCGTGCTCCCCGCCCAAGTGGGCCCGCAGTTCCCCGTGCTGAGCGTACACCCGCGGGCACCGGGGGCACAGGTAGACGCGCTGCGGGCTGTGCACCGCCAGGTGGCGCTGCAGCTTGAAGGGCTTGGGGAAGGGCTTCCCGCAGTGGTGGCAGTCCCGCAGCAGGTTCTTGCAGTCTTGGTGCACTGGGATGGCCTGGAGCAGGTGCTCCCTGTGGGACCATGGGTCCGGGGACAGGCTTGGGGACATCTTGCTGGTGCCCGACAGGGTGGCAGAGGTGCCGGCTAGAGCAGACAGGCCGCCCCAGCCGGCTGACACCCCGGGAGGTGTCAGGGCTCTGTCATGGCTGGAGGAGGTGCTGCACGGCCTGGGCGTTCCTCTTTCCCCTGGGGTCTCCTCGGCTCCCCCTTTCGGCATGGGTGCTTCCCCGGGGCCCCCGGCCCTGAGCGATTCCGATGTCTGCTCCATGATGCTGTTCAGGAAGTGTGCGAAGGCGCTGTCCTCTTCCAGGCACGGGGGCAGGTCCCCCGAGGGTGGCAGCGGCCGCCCGGCGAGCGCAAAGCGGGCCGCATGTTCTCCCAGGTGCTGGTTGTACGTCCACACGTCGGCCACCTCCTTCAGGCACATGCCGCAGGCCCAGGGGCCCGGCCCGGCCTGCACGTGCTTCTCCCGCAGGTGCTCCCGGAGCAGCTCCCTCGAGCGGAACCCGCGCTGCACGCACATGAAGCAGGTGTGGGGTGGCGCCGGCCCGTGTGCCAGCGCGTGCATGTCCAGCTCGCCCAGGCCGCGGAAGCGCTGGAGGCACAGTGGGCACTCATGGGAGGCCTTCCTGCCCGGTGCAGCCCGGCGTCCGCCTGGCCCTTGGCCCGCCCCAGCCACCACCTCCCTCTCCCCGCTCCCTGGGCCCTGGGAGTTTGCTGTGGCCTCAAAGTCCAGCAGACCTGGGCTGAGAAGGCCCGCGAGGTCGTCGCAGGAGCCCAGGAAGCGCAGGTCTTGCATCTCTAGCTGCGAGCTGAGCACCTCCAGGCCCTTGGCGTGCAGGGGGAGCATGCCCGAGTCCCCAGGGAGCCCGTCATCCACGTGCTCCCTCTCCAGGTTTGGGGGCTCTGGGCTCGCATCCCCAAGCGAGGAAGGGGTCTCCTCGGGGCCCCGCAGCTCCAGGCCTCGCCAGGCCGCTGGGACCATGTGCAGGCGAGGGATGGCCTCCGGCCACTTCTCCTCCTCCTCCTCCCCCTCCTCCTCCTCCTCCTCCTCCTCCTCCCCTTCCTCCTCCTCCTCCTTGGAGAGGTGGGAGGGCCCCTCCTCCACTCTGCTGGGCTCCAAGGTCCACAGGCCGAGGCTGGGGGGCCAGGGGTCAAGGCCAGGCACCTGGGTCAGAAATCCATCCGTGAAGAAGGGCTCGGGAAGGCCCACGGCCTCGTTGTGGTCATCCCACAGGTCCTCTTGGGAGAGGCAGAGGGAGCCTGAGTCACTGAGGTCTGTGGGCAGCCGGGGGGAGGCCGGCAGGGGGCGGTCCTCCGCCCAGCCGGGGGGCCGGGCAGGCAGGGGGTGCTGCGGCCTCTTGCAGCACTTTCCATAGACCCGGGGGCTCTTCTTCCCGGCCAGGCGGCCGCCCAGGGGGAAAAGCTGTGAAAAGGACAGCTCGTCATCGAACATGCTCAGAGGGTCTCCGCGCCCCGGGCTGGGGGCTTGGGCGGCGATGCCTGCAAGCTCCTGAGCCCCTCCCTCAGTGTCTGGGGTGGCCGGGAGGCTTTGGCCAGCAGTGCTGGCCGCTGCAGAACCGGATGCCTCAGGAGGGCCCGGGCCACCGTGCAGTCCTCCCTGGTCTCTGCTGCGGTCCCCCTGTGGGCTCCTGGCAGCCTGCAGAAGCGCTCTGCGGGTGCCCAGGTCCCCGGCCTCGCGCGTGGCCTCCAACTGCCCAGCCGTGACTTCCTTCCGCCCCACTGGCCGGTCCTGCGGCAAGCTGCCCTCCAACCACCCTTGAGGAGACCTTGGTGGGCGCAGAGGCCCCAGGCCCCGGTCTGCGTCGCCATCCGGTCCCTGGGCCTCCGGTGCTGAGCGAGGCAGAGGCCCCACTGCGGCTGCCCGCCGTCCCTCCGGGGACGCCTGGCCGCTCACAGGATGCTGGCCAGTTGCTGTCAGCAGATCTGAGTGGGTGACGCCTGCAGAGCCACAGGCAGAGGCTTGGGGACTGCCCAGCTCCCGGGGTCTCCCTGCCCTCGGTGCCCCGGCTTGCTTCTTCCGTGTCCTCTCCGGGTGGCGGGGAGCAGCGGTGGGCTCGCCCGCTTGCCTCCGGCCTTCTCTTTGCTCTGCCTTTCTGGCGTGGAACTTGTTGGCCTCCAGCGGCCCTGGTCTGCTGGGCTTTGCGACTGGGGTGTTCACGCCCTTCCGCTGTCCGCTTGGGCTGGAGCGTGGCTGCGGCTGGCTGAGGGGCGCGCCGGCCCCCCCGGACCCCCTCTGAGGAGCTGCCTCTGCTGTCCCAGCACCCAGCATGTCCGCAGGAGCCGGCCCAGGCCGGTGGCTGGGGCCCGCTGGCGGGGACCTTGGCCCTGCCTTCCCGGGTGCCCTGTGGCCTCTCTTCCTGGGAGCCCTGCATGTTTGGGCAGTGGGCTCCAGAGCCCTGGGGGCGTGAGGGGGGCAGGCGAGCTCCCGGGGCCGGTGCTTCCTGGCTCTGTGTCTACTCAGGCCAGCTACGGTGCAGAAGCGGGCAGAGCAGACCTCACAGGTCACTGGCGGCTCTGCGGGGGCCTGGCCTCTCCCCTGGCCTTTCTCCATAGGCTCAGCCTTCCTTTTAAAGCCACGGGGCCTCCGTTTGGGACTGAGGGGCTTCTGGGAGACAGCGATGAGGCTCGGGAGAGGGTCCCCGGCGGAGGCATGTTGGGACGGCTGGAGCCCTGGGGGAGAGGAGCTGGCCGTGGGGCTTCGGGTGCTGGCCCTCGGCATCTCTGCCACCGCACATGCGATCCTACGTGTGCCCAGGCCTCCCTGGCTTCCGCCACCAGCCGCCACCTCGGCTTCCAGGCCGTGGCCTGACCCTGTGGTCCCCGGCATGGCAAGGTCCATGGGTACAGTGGAGGTATCCGGGCCGGGGGTGTTCCTCGGGGGGCCTGAGGCAGGGCCCTTGGGAGTCGGGTCAGCGGTGGTGGGCAGTGGGGCCCTCCTGAAGTGGGGGTTCGGCGCCACCGGCCCCCCAGGGGTCTCTGTGCCCTCTAGGGTGGGAATGCCTGACAGGCCAGCAGCCCGGACAGCCGCGCCTGGAGAGACAGCCCTCCTCGGGGGAGGGGCAGTGTCCTGGGCAAGTGTCCTCCCCAGCTCCTCTCTTCTAGAATCTTCTAGAGTCATCAGTGTGCCGTCACCCCCGTGTCTTGTGGGGCCTAAGGTGTCCACGAGGCCAGGCTGGCCTGTGGGAAGGTCCTCGGGGCCATTAGCCGGCAGGAGGCAGTGGCAAGGCAGGATCCTGGCAGGATCACGGTGGCTTCTCATCAAAGACAGGGGATCCCTCGTGGGGGGCTGGACACGGTTTGTTCCTTCCAGAGGCACCCAGGCAGGACTGGAGGCAGGGCTGGCCGGCGGATGTGGGGAGCTGGGAGGGTCCCTCAGTTCCCCTGAGGCTACTGCAACTCGGGGAGGGGCAGAGGGAAGATCTCCCCAGGGCGGGAGCTGTGGGCCACGGGAAGCGGGGCTGGCCAGGGAAGTGGGTGCGGGGGCACACGTGTCCGGGTCTCTGGGGGGGGCTGCCGGTCTCTCACCACCATGAAGCGGCTGCCCGGCGAGGCCTGGGCTGGTCACGGTCTCTAGAATTCTGCCTTCAGCCACTGCGGGGCCCGAGGAGGTGGGGCCTGGGGGGGCCCTGGCCGGCCCTGGGGAGCCCGAGCCCAGCCTGCCCGCCTCCCGCACGTGGCTGTTCCTGGCCGGGCTGCCTGCGGGGCCTTCGGGACCCGTCTCGAGCTTGGTGAGGAGCTGTGCTTCTCTGGAGCCTCTCTGGTTACCCGACCGCCCCGGGCTGCCTTCTCGCTGGGCCTCAGGCTTCTCAGCGCAGCCTGGCAAGTCCATCTGTCCATCCGCCTCGGGCTGGTGTCTGGACACTGCAGGGACAGCTGTGTTCTGGGCAGGCTGTGGGGAACCTCCTTTCTCACGGTCTCCTCCTCCATCCGAGGGGCCCCTGGGGCGTGGGCCCTGGGCACCCCCAGCTGGCTGCCCAAGGGGGACCTGGGGGGCCTGGGCGTCTTTTGTGTCCCCACCTCTGGTGCCTAGGACCGGGAGTGGACAGACGTAGCAGGAGGCTGGGTCCCAGGGCCTCCTGCGGGGGCCCGAATCAGGCACCCAGGCAGGACTCTGCGCAGGGCAGAACTGAGGGACAGGCTGGGGGGGCCCGGCTGGTACCAGGTCTTCACCTTCGAAGCCGGGGTGGTGTGTGGCTCTCTCTGGCTCCCCTGCTCTGCCCGGAGAGGGGGTGTGGGGGCAGGCGCTTGGAGGTGGGGCTGTGTCTGGAAGTGCTCCCCCATGGCCCCAGAGCACCACCTCGGGCATCACGTGTCCAACCGGTTCTGGGAGACGGAGGTCCCGCCGGGGCTGCCCGGCCTTGCAGGGTGGTGAGGGATCCCCTCCCTGGGGTGGACAGCGGGACCGGGCTGTGGACACCTTGCTTTGCATCTTGGTAGTTCTGTTGGTTTTAGGAAATAAAAGTTCACTGTTGGGTTTGCCCTTGGCTGAACTCCCGGCACGGGACAGGGGTTCCTCTCGCATGCCGGAGTCGGGCAGACGGCCACCTGAGGGGCGCCTGCTGCCCCTCTCCATCTGGGGGACACCGGCCTCCTGAGCGGCCCGAGAGCCGAGGCTATCCGTGGAAGGGTCAAAAGGAGCCCCCAAAGCTGGGGTAAAGTCAGTGCGGGGAGGAGAAGCTGCGTGTCCTGTGTCTGGACGGGGCCATTGGCCGTGGGGACTTCTGAGAGCCTCTTCCCAGCGTGGGCTCGATTCCCCCAGCCCGGGAAGGCCAACTGCCCGGAGTGCGGCCCTGAGAGGCAAGGCGGCCTGGGGGGCCGGCCCTGGGCCCGGGCCCGGGCCAGGTCCGCGCCCGTCTGCACCCGCGGCTTCCTCAGCCTCTCCAGCGATCACGGGCACGCCCGCTCTTCTAGGTAGCTGGCTTTCTAATTCTGTGACCAATCTTTTGATCTCTAGTTCGTCCTCCCACAGATCGCTCGTGAAGGCAGCGCTGCATTCGATTCCCTTCCCGGGCATGGGGGCAGGGCTGGGAGGGAGCGTCCCTCTGCACAGAGGCCGACGCGTCTCCCCGCACGCCTCGCCCGCTGGGATGTCCAGACGCTGGCTCGGCAGCACGGGGGGCTCCGCTTCCAGCAGCAGAAACGAGGGGCAGAGGGCATCCATCAGTGGCTTCCCTGGGAGGGGGCTGGCATGAGCCAGTGACCTGTGGGTGTCCCTGTTTGCAGCCAGGTCGAATCCATCCTCAGGCGGCCCTGAGAAGAGGGACATAGTCGCCAAGGCCAGGGGTGACCGGGCTCTGTCCAGGTCCCTCTGGGCTGCACAGCAGGCGCTCTTTGGTGGTTCCGGTTCCTGTGGCTCAAAGGTATCCACTCCCTCTGAGCCAAGGTAGGAGGGGCTGCCGGTGTGGACAGCTAAAGGGCCGGTGGAATACAGGTCTTCAGGAAGACAGCCGGCCCCGTCCGTGGGTGTGTGGGACCAGCCTGGGAGGGCTCCGCTGCCGGCTCGGGACCCCTTTGGGGCAGCTGGGACCCCCATGGAGTCTCTGTTAAAGTGCACAGGATTACAGCCAACTGCAGAGTCCTTCACACACGTGACGCTCGGCTGAGGGCGTGGAGTGGCTGTGGTGTTGGCAGTGGGCACCAGGCCACTTCCTGGCTGGATGGAGCAGGCCTCTCCGTCCTGGACCATGCAGAGCTCTGTGCAGGCAGAGGGGTCCAGCAGGGCTCTCGCACTGGGTGTGGGCAACCCCTGGCTGGGCAGTGCGTGGGTGCGGCTCCCCGATGGCCTGTCCCTGCTGGGCTGGGGACCCCTAGGGCTTTCCTTCCCCTGGGGCGCTGGAGGACTGGTCACCTCTCCGGGCTTCACAGTGTCAGGGCGTATGCTTGCAGCCCTTTCAGGTTTTAGGGGCTCCGGAGTGAGGCCCAGGGATGGCTGGGTTTCCTCTAGGGGCTCAGCACTGGCAGGAACCACTGGTAGGCGGTCAGAATGCTCAGGGCCTTTTTCCACAGGGGTGTCTCCAGCGTCCAGGCTTGGTCGTGTGCTGTGTGTCTCCTCTGGGTTCCCAGCCTCCTGCCCCGTGAGCTCCTGGGGGCCCCGGGTTAACTTTTCTTCCCTTTGCCTGTGGGCTCGGTGGCCCCGCCGACGGCCAGGGCGCGGGCGGCCTCTGGAGCCTGGACCCTGCAGCCGGAGGCCTTCCTCCTCCTCGGAGTCAGAGGCGCAGCCCTGCGCCCCAAGGCCGCTCTCCTGGGCGCTGGGCCGGTGCCGTCCGGCAAGTGGGGGCCCCTGCGACCCCCGGCCGTGTGGGGCATGCCGCCGGTAGCGCTTGTTTTTCTGCTGGACAATCTTGTGGATGAACTCTTTGCTCCACGAGCCGCCCCGCACCCTTCTCTTCCTGGGGTCCTTTCCGGGGGGCAGGCGTGGGCGTTTGGAGCTCCTGGTCCCTGCAGGGACCTGCTGGTCCGAGTCTGCAGGGCCCTTGCCAGGCTGAGTTCTGAGGTCCCTGGGGCAGGGGGCCACCCGGTCGGCACTGCGACCCCTCCTCCTCGGTCTCAGGCAGATGGCCCTGGCCGGCCCTTTGGTGCTGCTATTGGCCATGTCCAGGTCTTTCTGGAACAACTTCAACTGCTTCCCTCTCCTCTGTGGCCTGGCGGGGCTGGTGGCCAACTCTGAGGCGGCCAGGCTCAGGGAGCGGGTTTTGGGCCTGCTTGGGGCTGGCCAGTTTCTGTCCCCAGGGCCGGGGGTTCGGAGCTCTGAGGCAGCGGCTGGAGCCGCGAGCAGGGACTGGACGCCGTCCTCCGGAGTTGCTCCGGCCCGGGAGCTGGGGGGCTGCCCGGGGCCAGCCGCCCTGGAGCTGGAAGGCTCCTCGTCTGCAAAGACATCAATGAAGCTGCTGTCTAGCTCTGGGCTGTCTGCCTGGTACTCCAGGCCGTTGAGCGCCTCCGTGATGAGGCTGTCCAGCTTGGCGTCGTCTTCCAGGTCCAGGTCAGAGGCAGGGAGTGGGAAGGGGGCCGTGGCCAGGCCAGGCAGGAGGCCTGTCCTCAGGGGGTCCTCTCTGCCCTCCGCCAGCAGGAAGGGGGCCGCCTGGCTGTGGCTGAGCGGGCCGGGGCCCGTGTCAGCAGGCACTTTTGGGGTGGTCCGGGGCGGCCGTAGGCTACAGAACTGCCGGTGCTCCAGGAAGGCGGCCAGGCTGCTGTAGTTGCAGTCACACTGCCTGCAGGTCAGCAGCACGTCCAGCTGGTCCAGGCTGGCGCTGCTCAGGGTGAGGTACGGGGCGGGGCCCTGAAGGCGGTCCTGCAGCCCGGCCCCGCCCACCCCCGGCCCCTCCTCCAGACCCTGAAAGGTGCCCTCGGTCCCCAGCCCATCATCCCGGAAGGGGAAGGCCTGGTAGTGGGTGGCGAGGGCTTGGGGTGGCTCTGGGGACGGGAAGGGGCTGCAGGTCTCCTGGGAGTGGGCAGGGGCGTGGAAGAAGGCAGAGGCCGGGAGAGAGCCGGGGAGCTGGCTGTCCTCTGAGCTGGGGTTGGCCGGGCTGCTGGATGGCGGGGACAGGGAAGAGCACGTGCTGCTGCCCGCGGTGTGGGTGGCAGGTGAGGGCAGGGGAGACTCGCTGGGTGAAGCCCCCACCGCGTGAGGCGGGGGCAGGCCAGGGGCCCCTCGGGGGGACACCTGGGGCTGGGTTCCCCCAAAGAACGGCGGCCGGGCCCCGGGGTCGTTCGGCCTCTTGCAGCTGAGCAGGCCTGGGGAGCCGCCGGGCTGGCCTGGGCTGAGGCTCGCGGCTACTAGGGATTCCCCAGGACTGGGCACCGTGCTGGTGGAGCCCGGGGCCCCCTGGCTGTCCCCAGGCCACTTGGGCCCCCCCCCAGAGAATGGTAGCTGGCTCAGCACCCCCATCTGATGGGGGCTTGGCCTGGAGGTTGGAAGTACTGTGGGCCAAGACATGGGGGTGTGGTGGGGCAGGCAGTACTGCTGGCCGGGGTGGAGCTGGCCTTCGAAGAACGCAGCTTTCACTGCTGCCGGCAGGCCCGGGGCCCGGGCCGCGTAGGGCACCGTGGGGTCCCACAGCGGGGGCAGTCCGCTGGCTGGGGGCCCGGGGACGGGGAGCTCTATGTCCAGAGGCCCCGGGCTGGTGTCCACCCCATTGGCCCCGTAGGGCTTCCCTGCGAAGTACTTCAGGGACAGAGGGTTTGGGGGGCCCCTGGGGAGGCCCAGCCCTTCATGGGCTGGAGGGGGTCGCTCAGGAAGGACTTTGGTCAGGCTCTTGTGCAAACTGTCTGGGAAGGGGCTTGGGGACAAGTGAGCGGCAGTGGAGGGGGAGGGCCCCCCTTCCAGGGGGGCAGGGGCCTCGTGGCCAGCCGTCTGGCCAGGGTAGCCGGGCAGGAGGCTCTGGGCAGGCCGAGAGGGTGGCAGGTAGGCAGGGCCGGGGCCCCCGGCGGCCTCGGCCCACATTCCCACGGGCGGGTGGAAGGTCAGCAGCAGCGGCCCCGGGGCCGGCTCCCGCCCAGCCAGGCTTCCAGCCAAGGCCTCCGTGTCAGCCCCGGGCGGAGAGTGGGCTGGGGCAGGGTACCTGAAGGGGCTCCCCCTGGGACTGCCAGGCCTTCTGCCTTCAGGAAAGGGTTCCAGCTCAGCAGAGGGGACCCCAAAATGAACACCTGGGAAGTTGCTCTCAGCAGCAGTGGGCCAGAGGCTGGCTGCTTGGGGCTGGGGCTGGCAGAGGGAGGCGGGTCTGCAGGGGCTGGTGCCTCTGCTCTGGGGGGTCCGAAGGGGCGGAGGCCCAGGGGTGCTGCGTGGTGAGGTGCAGTCGGTGGAGGTAAAGCTGGAAGGGGCCTCCTGGAAGCTGAGCTCCTCAGGGACGGGCAGGGACCTGGCCCTGGGCAGGCTGGGCCTGGGCTGGGTTGCAGTCCCTCGGCCCTGGGGGGCCTCTGCCTTTGAGCTGTGGGAGGCCTGGTCCGTCCCCAGGCTGTAGAGCGGTGGGGGGCTGCTGGCTGCCCGGCTGGCCGGCCACGTGTGAGCGGGGGTGTGGCTCCTCCCCGGTGGGACCCGAGGGCCGCTCTCCTTCCTGGGGGGGCTGCCCAGGGCCTGGCCCCTCAGGCGCGAGGCCTCGGACTCTGCCTCCTCAGCCTGCCTCGGGGGGGCCTTGGGGGGCTCCCTGGTCCGGGCTTTGCTGCCCATCTCCCTTGTGCCGGCCGGGGAGCAGTCCTGGAGGGCGTGCAGGGAGGGGTCCCCCAGACCGCCGGCGACTCGGCAGGGTGGCAGGTCCGTGGTCATGCCTGCGGGTGGTGCTCTGCGGGGCTGCTCCCCCGGCATGACCGCGTCCGATGCTAGGAGGAGGCAGCCGTCTGAGGGGGGCGGTGGGGAGTGGGCCGGGCAGCCATCCTCAGCCCTCGGGGGGCCCCACGGAGCCTGCGCTCATGGTCCTGGGAGAGCCCTGCAAGGGAAGGTCAGCCGTGAGCAGGGGGTCGTGGGGGCTGGGGAGCCTGCTTGCGCCCTGCAGGGGCCTTGTGCGGGCTCAGAGCCCCTCCCTGCCCCCGTAGACCTGAAGACACTGCTGGGGCACAGGAAGCTCTGCTCTGGGCCAGGCACCTCAGGGAGGAGGCAGACTCAACCCAGAGCGGGCTCAGGAGTCCCGCCTCCCGCTCCGACAGGCCTGTGCTCACATAGAGACGCTCACTGCAGAGAAGGCTGGGTTTCCTGTCAGGCTGAGGCCTCTCCTGTCTCCTGCTCGTCAGTCACCGGCTGGGGCCTTTCCTGCCTTCAGGTTGGACAGGATGGGCCCAGCTCACTGGCAGGGGGCGCATCCTGCTGCCAGGCCCCTGCCTGTGGCAGGCACACGGAAGGGCAGTGACTTGCCCAAGGCATCTTTCAGGGAGATCCTGCTGTCCCACCCACGGGGGCCCACGGGGGGCAGAGTGAACTGGAGTTGGCCAGCGCTGGTAGCTCACTCCTGGAATACTAGACTCAGGAAGCAGAGATCTAGAGGACCACAGTTGAAGCCAGCCCAGGTAGAAAAGTCTATGAGACACCATCTCCACAAAAGCCCATCAAAAAGCCAGGATGGAGGTGTGGTTGCAGTGACGGAGCACTCGTTGAGCAAGTAAGCTGAGCCAGTCGGAAGCCTTGAGTTCAAATTGCAGTACCAGAGAAAAAGGGCCTTGTGGCGGATGCAGTTCCGGGACTGCTCAGCAGAGGGCAGCACCACACCCTCCATCAGCCAGGAGGGGAGCTGGGTGGGTGGGGGCTTTGACTGGGGTGGAGGAGGAGCTGGCGTCTGGGGCAAGGTGGGTCCCCCCCCCACCTGCAGCAGTCAGGTGGGGGTGCAGGCCACAGCCTCCATCCACCCAGCTCAGCCCTGTGTTCCAAACCGCGGGGGAGGGAGGAGGGGGGGAGGGAGAGGGGGAGGGGGGAGGGGGAGGGGGGGAGGGGGAGGGGGAGGGCTGGGCCCGGCCAGGGCTGCCGGCCTCGTCCACGCACCTGGGGAGGTAGGGCCCGCACTGGCGTGCCGCACAGCTACTTGAGGACTGGGGTTTTCTTGGCTGTAAAGAAAGCAGAGGGCGTATTAGCACGGCCACTGTGTGTGCGCCGTTGCTGTGGCCAAGGCCCCGGGAGGGGACGGAAGGAACATCAGCCGGGCCGGCAGGGCCTCCCTGCCCGGTGGAGGCTGGTGGTAGCTCTGCCGGGCTGAGGCCCTGGGCAGGGACGGGGCACTGCACTAGAAGGGGCAGCGGAATGACCTTGGCCCCCACTCCTGGGCCCTGCAGGGGTCCCCCCCCATTCCCCAGGAGCCGGGCATTTCTCTTCTGTTCTTGTGGCGTGGGGCGAGCCCAGGCTCTTGCCTGGCAGGCCTCTCCCTCTGGACCACACCCAGCCCTCCAGCCCCCGTGGGGGGAGGCAGCAGACACCGGCTCCCACGCCTTCCTGCCTGGAGGGGCACCCGAAGACCCTGGGGGTCCGGTCACAGAGCGGCAAGCGGACCTTCCCTAGCGATGGGCGGCGGGGCCTGGCGGGGCCCTCCGCGAGGACATCATTCACTCACTCACTCACTCATTCACAAGCTCACCTCCGGGTCGTCTGTAACCTCCACCGAACAGAAAAGAAATCGAGGCAGACAAGGAAAGGAGGCTCAGGGCTGTGGTGTGAGTTGCCCGAGGCTGCGCGGCAGTGCCCAGCCACACAGGGAACTGCAGGCAGGCAGCCTGAGCCTCGTCCAGGCAGGCTCGGGGTCTGGCTGTACAGCTGGCCCCTCTCCTCACCACCCTGCTGGCCCCGCCCCTTCGCATGGTCATCTTCCTCTGGCCTCAGTCTCTGGGCCGCCATGTTGCCTGTAGTACCCCAGGGGATTGGGTGCCAGCCGCAGCTTCTACCCAGAGGGACAAGGATGAGGGGCAGCGTGGGGCACTGTGTACCCATTCTTCGATTCTGGCCCCGGCCGGGCTCTTGGCAAAGCCCGCGGTGCTGCCACACTGGTGTGCATTTCAGTGGCAGGGGCCCCTTTGAAGTGGGAGATCCGATCACCAGATCCTGCCAGTCCCCGGAGCCCCAGGGAAGTGGAGTGGTTCCCGTTCTCTCAAAACCAGGACTGGGCCCCTCTTGGACAGGCTGCCTGAACCCTGGGAAACTCAGGACTGGGGTCAGCTGGTGGATGGGCACCAGGGTGCCCAGCTGGAGGATGGGCTGTGCCCTGGGCCTGGCTCCTCCTCTGCCCTCCCCTCCCTTCCCCATCCACCCTTTTCCTTGGGGCCTCGCTGCCCTCTGGAGTGGAGCGGAGCCTCCTGTCCTCCAGTCCTCCCTTCCTGTCCCGGGTAGTCCTTCCTCTAGACCCCCGCCCTCCTTCCCCACTGGGTGCGGCTGGAGCCAGCTGGACCAGCTCCCCGGCTTCACGGCGGGGTCTCAGCCTTGTCTAGATCCCAGGTCTGGCCTGGACGCTATCGGAGCAGACAAGTTCAGAGGCCTCAGGAAGACCTGTCTGCCACAGGGCCGCTCAGGGACCTGCCGCGCACCCCCCCCCTCCCCCCCAGCCAGCACACAGGAGAGGCGCGGGCGGGGCAGCCGCATCCGAGTGCTGAAATCACACTGTGCTCCAAGGCTCACGGGTGGGACACGGGGCCGACGGCGCGCACACTCACACGCTCTCCTCCGGGTCCCGTCCCCCCGATCCCTTAGCCACCCCACTTTCAGATGGGCGAGGAAACGGGCGTGATGTGCGGTCGCTCACCCAGGCGGTGCCCTGCGGGCGGGCGCGTGGGGCCTGGGCCTGGTGCCCGTGGCTGGCTGGTGGGTGTGTCCTAGCTGAGACAGAAATCGAGGGGAAGGTTGCCCCAGGGTGCTGGGGCCTGGCCTTGGACCGGGGTCTCTTGAGCTCAGTGTTGGGCAGTTGTCCAGAGGGTACACAGTGCCAGGCACAGCCAGGCTGTATTTCTGGCTGGCTCACGGGAGGCCACGGTACCAGGGACACTGTGGGCATCTCGGGGCTCTGTGGACCCAAACACAAGGCTGGGCTCCTTGGCCTCCCCTTTGGTCTTCCCAGGCCCCATCCTGGACACCCACAGGGAACTAGAAATCTGCCTCATTGGGCACACAGGTCCACTCACAAGCTGTGTTGCAGGAGCGTAGAGCTGCCGGCCGGGCAGAGCCTGGAGCTGGTCAGAGCCTGGAGCCGGGCAGAGCCTGGAGCCGGGCAGAGCCGGGAGCCGGGCAGAGCTTCCAGCCTGGCAGAGCCGGGAGCCGGGCAGAACTTCCAGCCTGGCAGAGCCGGGAGCTGGGCAGAGCTGGGAGCTGGGCAGAGCCGGGAGCCGGGCAGAGCCGGGAGTTGGGCAGAGCCCAGAGCCAGACAGAGCTGCAGGCCAGGCAGAGCCTCGAGCCTGGCACAGAGCTGGCTGGACAGAGCAGCTCTGCTGGGCATGGCTGCCAGGCTTGCACCGCGCTCTCTAGCCCAGGGTCAACTGGGGTCTGCTGGGCCCAGTTTGGTCCACTCTGCGGAGCCCCACGCTGACCCCCAGCCGCCCGCCCTGGCAGGGTCCACTGGGTCCCCATGCTGGGCCCTGTGGCCTGCGTGGAGCCTGCCCCCTCCTGGCTTGGCAGGGCCCCGCCAGCTGGCCACTCCGAGCAGGTGAGGCTACGCCCTGGGCACCGGCTCTGCTGGCCGTGCCACCGAGGCCAGTATGCATGTGGGGCTCAGCCGTGCGGCAACCCGCAGCCTCCGCGTCCACCCTGTGCAGAGTGGGCCTGGACGCCGGGCTGCGGAGCCACGCTGGGTGCTGCCCATGGCCCTGACACGGCGCCCGGGCCGGGGAAGCTGACCCCGCCTGGATGTCCCCTTTCCTCTTCCTTCAAGCGAGGCCGCATCCCCCGAAACGCCGTTACCTGAGTGCTCCGAGAGAGCGCGGCGGGTAAAGTTATATCTAAGGTAGAGCCCAGAGGGGAGGCGCAGAGCCCATTACCCGGTATCAGCTGCATTTATCTTCATTTCTCGGTGAAGTGGGGCTGGCGGGGCTGGCTGGGGGGGTGTCTGCCACCTTATCAGGTGCATATTTGAGGTCTTTTCACAGCAGGGAGGGGGCGGGGTGCTGTCGTCCAAGATGGCGGCATGGTGCCGGGGGGGGGGGGGGTTTCCTGGCGGGGCGCTGCCGCCCGCCACAGATGGCCGGGGGCTGGTGCCAGCCATCACCTCCTGGCCCTTGGTGCCACTGTGGTGTCACAACCCTCCCAAGGGAGCCACTCGCTCACCCGTCAGCCATCCAGAACTCCAGGACCCCGCTCAGGGCCTGCAGCCCCCTGAAGCCAGCTTTCAGAGCCAACTGCGTGCCACCGTGGCCAGGAAGACCTCCTGGACCTCAAGCTGGGGGCACCATGGCCTGGCCGGGGAGCCGTGCCCGTCCTCCAGGGACCGGGTGGCCCCCCGGGGCCTGCAGCCCCGTCCTCCCCACAAACAGCAGCAGACAGGGCTGTGTTGGAAGCAGCAGGCCGCCGGCCCACCAGCCGCGGTGAGCGCCTGCCCGTGCTGCCCACACCCGCGGGTTTCCCTCCTGCGCGGGCTCTGAACCACAATCGTCGGATCTCAGCCTCCTGAGTAGCTGGGACTACGGGAGTGAGCACAGTGCGGGGCTTGGCGGAGCTTTCTCAGGTCAGACCCTGGTCCTTGTGTCAGGACCGGTGGCCAGGCCCAGGCACGTGGCGGGCATCCGAGGAAGGGTGGACGGGGCCCTGCCAGCCCCGCGGGCTGCCTGTGTGCGTCTGCCCCTGCCTCAGCCGCCCCCAGGGCCCCGGGAAGCTGGCTGCAGGGCAGGCTCCAAAGGAAAAGTCAGACATCTGCCGTCTCACACCCCGGCAGGGCTCGGGCTGATGCAGGGGCGGCGGCCAGCCACGGTTTGCTGAGTGATCTCCTGGATGACACCATTCCACACGGTCCCCCCGCCCTGACCCCTGGACGGCGCCTACGCGGTCCCTCATCCTGACCCCCATTTCCCAGACCCACGCCCTCCCCCATCCACACATTCACCCACGGATTCATTCACTCACTCATACGTTTACTCCCTTGTTGATTCATTCGTTCAACTCCTCACTCATTCCCTTTCCCGAGCAGCTTTCTCATCTACCCCTCCTCGGCTCCTCATGAGCTGCAGGGTAGAATGCTGAGCACTGGGCCCTCGGAGGGCTGAGGAAGAGACCCCGGGGTACTGAGGGCTGGGGGCAGAGCCGCATGGCTGGGCGGGGGGGGGTGTGAGCTGCCGGGAGCGGCAGGGCCTCCCCACGGCACCACATTAGGCCTGCCCCGCGGCCCAGGAGCCTTGTCCCGCGCTGAACCTCCACCCAGTCACCCTCGGCCCTGACTTTCCCCTGCGTTCACGCTCAGCACACAGGGTGGGCTAAGAGCTCGGGACCCCTGCCCTCCACAGGGTTCCCCTTCCGTGGGAGGTCCTGCTCCCTTCTCTGCCCCTTGGGGTTCCCATGTGCATTGTGGGGTGCCCCCCCACCCCGCGGTGGCCTCCAGTCTCCCCCAGCCTCCAGTCTCTACGGGAGGCCCGGGCCCCAGGGCACACTCTGGCCGCGGCGCTCCCAGGGCTCAGGCATCACCCCACTCCGCAGGCCAGGAAAGAGAGGCACGGCGAAGCCGGGGGCGCCTGCTTCGGCATTCCGGCTGCAGCCTGACTCCCAGGCCAGGAGCCCCCGTTCCCAGCCACACCTCCGGGGTCGCTGCGGTGTGATCCAGGGCCAAGGGGCCATGGGTGTCTCTCCACGCCTGGGCCGGGCCGTCCCCGCCTCCCCAGCAGCCCGCAGAGGGGCGAGCGAGCGCTGACCCTCGCCCACAGCTGCCCTTCTCCCAGCGGAAGCTGGTGGCTCGCGGGAAGGCGGCGGGGTGTGGCGGGGCTGCAGGGCGGGGTGGGTGAAGGGCTGGGCGTGGGGAAGCCAGCCGCAGCGTGGGGGGCCCGGCGGCGGGGCAGGGCGGCCCGAGAGCAGGAACGTGGGCGAAAGACGATTCTGGAAGCATGAGAGGGACGTTTACAGTGTGGGCCGGCACACACAGTCCTGGGTGGCTTTCTGGCCAGTGCCTGGGGTCGGTGGCTCCTGTTCCTTCCCACAGCGGGCCTCTGCCCAGCTGACCTTCAGTGTCTCCCATCCCGACTGCGCTCCTTCCAAACTCGTGCCGCCTCTGCCGCCCGAAGCACCGAAGGCAGGCGCAGAAGTGAGCCAGAAGGCAGACAGCGCACCGTAGGGCCAAGCTCTGAGCACGGCCACCAAGACAAAAAGAGAATGGGACATGGCAGGCTGGCCTTCTCACGCTCTGAAAAGGCACAGAGCAAGGCTGGCCAGCACCATGGAGGAGGGGGAGGGAGGGTGGGGGGGAGGGAGGGCGGGGAGCAAGGCTGGCCAGCACCCTGGAGGAGGGGGCAAGGCTGGCCGGCACCCTGGAGGAGGGGGAGGGAGGGTGGGGGGGAGGGAGGGCTGGGAGCAAGGCTGGCCAGCACCATGGGGGAGGGGGCAAGGCTGGCCGGCACCCTGGAGGAGGGGGAGGAGGGGGGGGAGGGGGGGCAAGGCTGGCCGGCACCCTGGAGGAGGGGGAGGGAGGGAGGGCGGGTGGGGCGCAGAGGGGCGTCCGCCTCGGCCTCCCAGCGCAGACAAGTGCGCCCTCTGCCTAGAAGCAGACCTGCCAGCCGGCGCCAGGCGTGGCCGGCCGTGGCCCGTGGCGGTGGGACCCCGGGCCTGGCCTTGCAGACGCCAGGCATGGGCAGGGCTCGCTCCTGTGACAGAGCCAAGGTCTCTGGGGGCACGCGCCTGGGTCCCCGCAGGCATGCTCACAGGCGGCCGGGCCCCTGTGG